AACTTTGTTTTAAATTTCCTTCTAGACTATTGCTATATTATATAATTCATTATCATTTTCAGGTTATAATATGAGAAAAGTGTTGGGGCTTGGAGAGAGATGGATCAGTGGTTAACAGCACTAGATGCTCTTGCAGAAGGCCTGGGTTTGGTTCCCAGCACCAACATGACAGCTAAAATCCGACCATAACTCCAGTTCCAGAGAATCTCTTCAGACCTCAATGTGCATTTCAGGATATGGGTGCACATACATACATGCAGGCAATACATTCGTACATATAAAATAAAAGTAATAAATAAAATATTAGAAAAGAGACATGTTATAACTAATATGTATCAGATGCCTTTAAAACAGTAAGCATTGTGATAAGGATGTTTTATTAAATACCTTACTTATTACTTGGGTCTATCTTCTTAGTTTTTAAAGTTTTAAAACATTTTAATCAACATTTTGATTTTTTCATCCTAAGTACTTCATCAGAAACAGATGTGATATTTATTTAATTATATACTCAGAGCAACTTTATTTATAAGAATAATATCATGAAATGGGTAACAAAGTCAATTGAAAGAGAAAAGATGTCAGAAAACTTTCATTAATAGCTGATTATACACAAACTAAAGCATTATGAAATAATACATTATTACTTCCATTTTCAAGAAAATATTGCATATAAATGGGATAAAGTTGTAAAAACCAGAGGGAAGAGCATTAGTTCAAAAACCTACTGAAAATTGCATAGACAATACCTCTACATGAGTCCATGTGTATAGCTGAAGGCTATATAACAGAGAATAGTGCCAGACAGGAGAAACCTCTCTTCAAGTTGATTGCCAGGAAAATCCAAGAGACTCCCAAAGTTACATTGGCCATTGCCACAGCCCTTGATTACCTCCCAGAACTTGAAGGTAAGACCCTATTCCTGAAGACAAGAGATAGTTCAGACACATGGGTTGGAGCAAGAGAGCTGGAACTGACCAGGAAGCCACCTCCCTGAAGGCTAGTTTTCATTGATTTGGAGAACACTATGCAAACTGCTAAGGAAGAACATCAATTGAAGGTCCAACCCCAGCTTTAAATCCTAATAACCATAACAATAACAGAAAGCTATATTGGGGCAGTAGTGGCACCTTTATCTTGGGGGTAATCAACAGCTATCTAATTGCCCCTAAAGCCAACTCAGTGGGAGGAAACTCATGTGTGGTACTGTAAGCATGTAGCCAAATACATATGGCTGGAGAGGTCATAGATCTTAGAGAAAACCCCAAGGCTGTCACATCCCTAGGCAAATGTAATTTCTTACTATATGCTAAATATGGATCCTTATATTTACAGACAAGTATGCCAGTCACAACCCATCAAAGAAGCTTCTTTTGCAACTGATGGAGACTATTACAGTATTCCACAACTGGTCACACACAGAGATTAAGTGTCTGTGAAATGCCCAACCCTAAGTGGCACATCTGCAATAGAACTGCTACACCTAAGACTCAAGGGCTAGTGGAACAAGGGGTATAGAGAATATTAATACATCTCTCAACTCTCATCAATGAAGCTCCTTCATGCAACAGAGGGCAATGAACCAAGGGCTTGGGGACCATTTAGGAAGAGGAGGGCAGAAAGATTTTAAGAGCTAGGGGAGGAGGTACAGGACCATATGGAAATAGAGTCTTACAGGCTCCTGGGATCTTGCCCATATGAATTTACAGCAAAGGTGAAAGCATGCACAAGAGCCGCAAAAACTCAAGTGGACCACTACCTAGCATAGAACTGTGGAAATGGGCAGCAGGCCCCAACCTTAGCAAAGAACTAATGGGCAGCTGACTACTATTGAGTGAGGAAGAGTTGATCTTTTTAAAGAAGTGAATCTAGATAGGCTGACTAGACCCCTTTGGGTGAACTTGCATTGAGGGACATTTTGGGGAGCCCAACTTGACTCAATAGGCCTTAACATAAATGACAGAATGCATAAAATCCAGTGCAGGGGCTACCTGAAGGTGTCGGTGAGGAAGGGGGTATAAAGAGAATTAAGATGTGTATGAAATGCATGAAAATTCAATAAAAAGTATATGTAAGAAAGAGATAACTACACATAACATAGGTATGAAAAGTTTCACAAAAGCATTACTAAAATGTTTCAAAGGATTAAGATTTTTCATCTTTGGGTTGTTTTATGGGTTCTAAGATAGGGTCTTATGCATTTCAGGTTACTCAAACTCATGATTGTCTTGCTCCAGACTCTCAAATTCTGGGATTACGGGGCTTTACCAAGTTTCTAAGACTTAAAATAGTGCATTTTAGTCATAAATTAAGCCTTGTTTATAATACAATATTGACCAATTAAATTAATTAAACTCAATAAACTGCAGTACTTTCCTTCTAAGTAAAAAAAAAAAGTCATATAGTCATATAAAGCCACAAACAACTTGGAAGTTCCAAGATTTCATATTTAACATTGACTTGAAATGACCTACTCCTCCTCCCTGGATGTCCTCCTTACATTTCATCAAACTATGCAGGCAATTGGGAGTGAGGGCTTGGGGAGAGAGGAGTAATAGAATTAAGGATGTATTAAAATCCATATGAAAACCTACTACTTCCTAAGCTTCCTAAAAATATGTTTCATTTTTCAAAAGTAAGAAATAACAAAGTTTGAATGGAAGGCATTCTGAATGAATGGATCACTCTGTTCCCAGAAGCCATGGGTTATTAAACATAAATCTCAGTGGCAGGTATAAGATTCTGTTTTATAAGTTGTTGGTCAGGGAGGTGCTAGGGGCATTAAATAAATACAGGCTATTGCAATTGCTTTTGATTTTCCAACAGAACTTAATGACAAGACCATATTTAGGAAGACACCACTCACTTGGGCAACAAGAAAGAGAGAAATCAACCTGCAACTGAGCTGGAAGTTCCCTCCCTTCCAGCTGGCATTCACAGTAAAGCAAGGTTCTATACAGGCTTCTGGGGAAGAAAAGCCATCAATAGTATTACCCAGCTATGGATTTGGCATGTTGCAATACTGACCTGCCAGGCAAGATGAAGCCACTGGTGCAATAATGGCATGACTTTATAAGAGTAACCAATGCCTTTTGATTGAATTTGAGTCCACTCCACATGAGAGAGCTCATACCTAATCAAATGCCGTTGGCTGAGGATGGGCCCTCTGGGTGAGACTACTAAAGTGGTTTTGCTACATGGATATTTGTCGAAATGCCTTCTAATTATTTATGCTTTTACTCATAGACTAGTATTACTTACAGCTTTGGTCAGAAAAGTTTCTGTTTTCAAAGGGCAGTAGTTAATGTAGAGTCATAACTAGTTAAATACAGAGAATAAGTGACTGTTAAGTACTCAGCCTTAAAAGGGACATTCATAATACTCACTCTAGGTCCAGAAAACATGGAAGAGGGAGCAAAAGAATGTAAAAGATGGAGGATGTGAAGAAGTATCAAGAAACTCTGCCTTCTGCAAATGACATGGTCATAACATTCAGGAACTCACAGATTCTGCAGTTACCCACACAAGACCTGAATAGTGTTGGGTCTACCAGCAATCTATCATGGATGAGGGAGCTCAGGATGTGCTATTTCTTCTTGAGTAAGTATTGGCAATTAATGGGTTGCTTTGAAGGAGCCTTTTTCCTCCATGATGGCATGTCATCATGGATACATTGTCTAAACTCAGTAAACAATCCCTATCCGAGCTAATGCAAGTATCCCTAATTAATCACAGTTGGTCATCAAAAAATAAAATAAAATGTAGACATTAAAGTTGGAGGGAGACTAGATGGAAAGAAGTTCAGCAAAAGAGGGATGTAAACATAGAGAGTAATGGGGGGTGAATCTGATCCAAATGTATTGTGTTCATGTATCATGTTGCCAAAATAATATGCAAGAAAAAGAGAGCGATAGGCAATACTATCATAGTTTACACATGGATAATGCATGCACATCAAGAGAACACATTGTACAAGATTTAGATCACTACCTAGACATGCAGGTAACATGTAAAAATCTCAGAACATGCCCGAGAGTAAACTGTAGACCACTCACTCCTCCTTATTCAAGCACTGAAACCCTACGCTCCATGCACTACTACTACATCGCTTGCCTAGTTCCAATAAACTGCACCAGTGTTCTGGAGGAACAGGCCACAGAAGTGCACCTTTTTGAGAAGGGCTTCATTAACCCTGAGAAACCCAGTGGTTCCTGTTGAATGAGGCAGATCCTCAGCTGTATTAACATACATGCTATAACCACAAACTGGCTTTAACATTTAAAATAAATTTCCATACATTTTTCCTTTGTCAAAAATAGAATAGAAAAAAAATAATGAAACTGTAAAAAGAGATCTACACCAATGAAGAGCGATAGCTGAGATCTGAAGCAAGTACAAAAGTCAAAAAAGAAAAAAAAAAAAAGCCTGTTATGGTTCCCATAGCAACTGCAACACAGTCGAATTTGACTTTTATGTTAAATAAGTTTAACTTGAATAGAATGCAAAATACTTCCTCTGAGCAAAAATGTGAATTACTGGGAATATATAGACAATGGTCCATGATATTCTAGATTGCAACTTTTTAACATATTAAATCTTATATATATATTAGATTTTTCATGTTAATCGTGTATGTTTGTTTGCAATGATTTGAAGCTATGTTTAATCAATTTATTAGCTATGGTTATTTTAAATGAGAAAAAGAATCATTATATTTTTAAATTCAGGGGCCACAATATTTTAATTTAGAATGTAGGATCATGGTTCTGCTTGTAATTACAGCAGAAAATTTTCCAAAACTACAATTAGTACAATCTGATTACATCCACTGTGAAGCTTGTTAAACATGTTCTTGATGAAATTTTAAAGTATGAAAATATTCACAGAACTTAAGATTATGTTACCTTAAAAGAAAATATACATATCATTTCTAAGACCTTTGTAGCTTGTACATTGTTCTCCATTTCAGTAAGGTAGATAAATGCAGGAAAGATACTTACTCCTGTTATATAACGAGGTCTATATTGAATAGTTCCGAATAAACCAAGGATGACGATGATGATATGTACAAAATTTGCCAGGATAGGTGCCCACTGATATCCAAGGAAATCAAATATTTGCCTCTCCAGCACACAAACCTAGAAGATCAAACAGGATTCACAGATCAGCACATGTGAGAGACATCACACAGTCAAGATGAAAGGATCACTTTATCATCATAATTAGCTATTATAGCTTTGTTATAGTATCTGACACTTGTCTGTGAGAGTGGCATTTTCAGGCATATTGAAAAGCAAGACTACATGAGTATCCACAGACAGCCACCTGCCTTTCAGGGCTGATTTTTTTTTTTTTTTTTTTTTTTTTTTTAGGTATCAAGCACTAGTCACTGGATGTCATCTGCAGAGTCACAGGAAAATTATATTGTCATGTGCACTGTCAATCACTTGAGGCCATCAACCAGCAAGTTAGGCAACTCCACATGAAGGGCTTGTTAAGATTTCTTTAAATGTCACTCTGTAACAGCAAAGGGCATTTGCTACTGAGAAATAAAAAGAAACTTGTAGTCGGAGACCCTGGATTCTGGATGCAGATCTGCAATCAAGTCACCTACAAGAGTCATTTTTCTTCTCTGGGTGTCTTCTTTTTTATGGTAAAATGTAGAACTCCAAGATGCTGAAAGGTCCTTCCAGCACAAACAGTGTTGAGGTATAAATTATGAATGACTTTTATCATACCACAATGTAAAAGAAGAGCCAGAACCATAAATTAGATAATAGAAAAAAACAAAATGCCATCACTGTTTTAAAAGCAAGACACAAGATGTTTTAAATTACACTTTCATCTATGCTTTCAAAAATATAATTAGGAAATCTCAAAAATTTTAAACATTAAGAAGATAAAAACAAAAGAACCAAACCAAATAGTAACAGCAACAAATGGTCAGTAATTCTTTTTTAAAATATTTATTATTTTTATTTTATGTGTATGAGTGTATTGCCTGCATGTAGGTAAGTGCACCTGTGTCATGCAATGCCCGTGGAAGACAGAAGAGGCTGTTGGATCCCCTGGAACTGGAGTCACCACAATTGTTAGCTGCCATATAGGTGCTGGGATTCGAACCTGGATCTTCTGCGAGAACAGTCAGTGTTCTTAGTCTCTGAGCCATCTCTCCAGCCCCCGGTCATTAATTCTTAAATATACTTTTTACTGGAAAGTGAAATACAGATTGCTGGCAAATTTTCCATGAGATGTAATTAAACAAGTTGCCTGTTGCCTTTATTCTTCTTCCCTGTGCTCAGAAGGAATGATGATGGATTGTTGATACACAGAAAAATATTGCAAAAGGTTTCACCATTATAAATTAAAATTCAATAAAAAGTCAGTGTGTTTTAAATGAAAATGGGATTTAAAAACATAGTTTACTAATATCACTATGCTTTAATGATATTGCTTTTCAGAAGGAAATACTGAGTCACAAAATAGGCAATGTGGTTTTTTTCTGACTTATAAATTTTATTTGTGAATATTGATTCCATCTTATTACCTTGGTATTGTACCAGATTTTAGTTTGGAAAAGTAAATAGAAATTCATATTACAGAAGAAATCACATAAAAATATTGTATTTAAAAATTAAACAAGGGCTGGAGAGATGACTCCGTAGTTCCTCCTCCAGGAGACCTGAATTCATGTCCAAGCACTCGGATCAGGCACCTCACAAACACTTGTAACTCCAGCTCCTGGGGGATTCAGTGTATTATCATTTTCAGGACTCTTCCCCCATCTCCTCTCAGATACACGCCACCTCCCTACCCTCACCTCACTTCATGTCCTCTATTTTTTTTAAGGCCTATCGAGTCTAATTTTGTAGAAGAGGGGGCAGAAAAATTGTAAGAACCAGACATGGTGGATGAATACATGAAACGGTTTTTATGGACACAGCAGGGCAGCTGTACTTATGAACACACAGCACTTCTGAGAGTATGCACAAGACCTGCGTAAGTCTAAGCCAGCCAAAAATTCCAGCATGAAGAGGCAAGGTGGGTAAGAAGCCCCAGCCCTGTCTATTCGTTACCACTGATGATTGAGAGCTGCTGGGAGAAGAGTCAGGTTTGTTATTTTTTAAGGGTGTGATGCCCAGTAGTTGATCAGGCTCCAGGGGATGGACCCAAGAACATTTAGGGGACACAAATCAGAGTTGTTAGGCCTTAAAAAAATAGAGTCAATGTGTCAGTTTTTAAAATGAACTGTTTCTATGATTATTGTTTATAGCATTAAGCAACTATTAATCTCAAATTTTTACTTTAAAAGATATGACTCTTGGGGCTGGAGAGATGGCTCAGTGGTTAAAAGCACTGACTACTCTTGTAGAGGAGCTGGATTTGGTTCCCAGCACCCACATGATTGCTAATAACTGTCTTTAACTCCAGTTCCAGGGAATCCGACACCCTCCTCTGATCTCTTTGGGCATTGCATAACACAGGTGCACTTATATACATGCAGGCAATATACTCATACACAAAAAGTAAAAAGTATTTTTAAATATATGATTCTTCATATGAATAAAGTAAAAGGCTTTGTCTTTTAAGTATATATTTTTATTGAATTTTTGTGCACTTAAAAATCTTAATCATATTTAGATTCCCTCCCTTATCTGTGCCTCCCCATAGCCCCCTCAACAGATTTCTTCCATTCTGTCATATATGTAAAGTCCTATCAAGTCAGGTTTGTGTTCCCAGATGTCCCTTAATATGAGTTCATCCACTGGAGCTGGGTCAGCCTTTCTAGTGTCAGTAAACTTAAAGAAGATGAACTCTCCCTCATCCAGCAGTGATCAGCTGCCGATAGTTCCTCCGTTAAGACTGGGGCCTATGCCCATTTCCCCAGTTCTATGCTGGGTTTTTGTTTGGTCCACTCAGAGTTCAGGGACCAAGGCTATGGGTTTTTGAAGACACAGGGCCTAACCTGACTATTGATAAAGCTTCTAGCATTCTGAGCAAGCAGCAACACCTTGGTTTTAAAATGACTCTATCTTAGGTTTAAATTGGCCAAGATAAGAATCTGGAAAAGTCTAGATTTTTTAAATTATTTATTTAATAACCACATAATTGGAAGAAGCATTTCATTACAACAGCATTGATATATTTAATAACATTTTCCAGAGCTAAGATGCATCCCTTTCAGAATTGGCTATAAATTTTTTGGGTTTACAGTTGAATTAATAGTTATGCAATATTGTACTCAGTATAAATCCTGTAAGACATAAAATAAATACATATGGGGCCAAGGAGGTGATTCAGTAGGTGAAAATGCTAATTACACAAGACTGATGATTGGAATTGGATTGTTAGAACTCATGGTGGAAGGAGAGAACTGACTCCCTAAAGCTGTCTTCTGACTTCTACAGTGTGCTGTGACACATTCACAGCTTCTCACACATACATACAGCTTTACGTGCACGCAAACACACAATAATAACACTAAATTTTAAAAACAAAAAAGGTACGTGTGGTGTAGTTTTAACACTTGGGTGGTCATTACTCCCATTTCAGTTCTTTAGCTGAGCAACACATTTTCTCACACGGAATTATAAAAGAAATGAAAATTTAAACACCTGTTTGCATAACACCACCATTTCCTGAAGCAAAGTGTACCCTGTCAATGGCTACAATGGGAGCAGTCCAGCCCAGGCAAAGCTTCACTGTACTCAGTACCTCTTTGCAGTAGTAGGAAAAGGAGGAAACGGAAAAAGAAAAGAAGATGAAGAGGAGGGAGAGGAGGAAGAGAAGGAGGAGGAGGAGGAAGAAGGAGAAGATCATATTGGTCTGAGGTTCTGCATATGTTAAATCCATCATATCACTAAAGTCTCAATGAGAAATGTATTCTGTAGGAATGATTTACAATATAGAGAGAATCTGGACTAATGGCTTTTACTCCATCTTGCACCAAAAAGCTACTTTTAATAATGCGAACAAGCTCACTGAACCATGTGCTCTTATGATCTGGGCACTTGACTTTGATCACTGGGACCTCACTTTGCACACCACCCAAGATAGTGAATGAATGTGAGTGTGCTTGAATTAGCACATCAGCACACTGTATGCAGCAAATTCATATTCATTTCCTCATTGGAAGCAGCGAGAACCGGGAAAGATGCTCGACATTGAGTGTATGGGTTATTTTAAGTGTAGGATTAAAGGCAAGATTCTTTAATAAAATAAGGGTTGATCCAATATTTCAGTTCCCCAGTTGATGCTGGAGAAACTGTTGGAATAAAAGTTTGGCTGGGGAGCATAGTTCCATGAGAAATCTGAAGTAGCAAACTCTCAGAGGCCGGACCCACTCTTAAAACTAATACTAAGAGTCAAGCTGATTATTTATTCAGGTACAACTGTAATGTGGCTTAGAAATGCTGCAGTGTTTTGATTGGCTAATGTCCATAGACTGAACTAGAGCTTAATTATAACTTTCAGCTTTATAAACCTTGAACTGCTTTCCAGAAAACTAAGCAGTGTTGCATGTGCCTTGAATGACTCCATGAATAGTGGGAAAGACTAAGTAATTGTTCTGGCAGTACTAATGCTGATCAACTAGTTGAAAGCTCATTCCCACATCACCCTTCTTTCTCTTTTGCTTATGAATAAACAGTAAACAGTAATGTAAAACAACAGCAAGAAAAATCTGAACTCTATAAATTTTGAGTATCATAACTGTGAGGACACAGCTGGAGGAAAGCATAGAGTACATCAGTCAAGCAGTGGGAAATTTCTGAATAAATGGACCAATTATGGAAGAAAATCGCAGTGCCATCATTAATTATAAAAATACATAGATGATAATGTACAGTGCTAACTTTGCAAGGCTAAAATGAAAATTTAGCATAATTTCTTTATGACAGAACTAAATTTCTTACTTATGAAGTTGTGTAGACAGAATAACTTCATGAGTGCTTTTTTGTCTGTATCTCCTTGTCTCTTTGGTTTCATTGGTGCTATTGCACATCATAGATAGCTTTATCCCATAATTGCAATTTAAAGCTACTCTGAAAAATGGAAGATACTAATTGAGTCTCAGGGGAGGGAGGGCCAATTCCTAAGCATAGTTCAGGGTACCCAAAGATTTCCTTCCAACCGGAAG